GGGGCGGGTGGCACTGATGCTCTGCTCAGTCCTCCAGCCTTGAGGCCATCCCCCTAGACAGCACCCAGCCCCCCTACCAACCCTGCTCCATGGCTCCTGTCTCTGCTCCAGAGATGAGAACAAGGACCCCGCATGCCACTCACCAACAGGCAGTGCACGTACTCTGGGCTCCCCACCAGGCCGGTAAAGGTTCCCAGCTGCTCAGCCAGGGCCAGAAGGACCTCATCCTCATCATAGATGGTGTCTATAGGGGCAAGGCATTCCCATCACAGCCCACCCTGGGACCCCGGCACCCTGGGATCCCGGTCCCAAGATCACAGGCTTGCTGTCAGTACCCACAGTTTTCCCATATGGCCAGCACAGAGAACAAGATAGGAGCTGGGGATGGGTGGGGGAGCACTGAGTGACAGGACCACTCTACACCCCTCAGGGAGGGGAGACTGAGTCCCATCCTGTGCAACACTGTGGCAAGCAGATTTCCTGTTCAGGTCAGCTCACACTCTCAGCACAGTTCTCTGCCAAAAATCCTTTTCTATCTGTTCAGACTCGGTTCAGCTACTGCCTCCTGGAGACTTTGCAGGCTGTCCCCTTCGCCCAGCCTGCCCCCAACCACCGGCCCCTGTCCCCGGCTCCCACCCAAAGACAGGGTCAAGCCCAACCACAGTCTCAGGCCTCAGGCCTGGGCAGGGCAGGCCAGGGCACCGGCGATCTCTGGGATTCTTCCTTTCTGACCTAGGACTCTCCACAAGAAGCGCAGCACCCAGGGCTCAGAGCACCACCTCGAGAACCCTGAAACTACACTGCTGTCCTTTAAGATGCGAGCCTGGCATTTTGCTCTACCCCACGATCATGCTACAGTAATCGCTTACAAAACCAATCCTGCATGTTCTGCTGGCGTGAGGCTGAGGCTTCTGCTTTTCTGTCTGGACAGCACCACCTTTTCCCAACAGACATGGCACCTGCCACATGCAACTGGAGATGCTCCCAGGCAGCAAGTCCAAAGAAGGGACCTTACATCCCTTGGAGCTCTGAGCCCCATGTGTCTAGATACCTGGCAGCTCTTGGTCTGAAGCTTCCACATTCCCCCCATCCCAAGCCCCAATTCTTTCCACCCATGCAGGCAGAACATTGTCTGATGAGACTGTCCTCCCAGCTGACACTTAGGTGTTAAACGGACTGAACACTCTCCATGTCTCTAGTACGAGTCACACGACTGTATCCACCTGGCAGAGCCCGAAGCAGGTCTCAGGCTGGGAGTCTCACTCCGGGTCTGCGGCTGCTTTCCAGCAGACTTTCAAGAGGACATCCTGCCTCCACCTTTCTCTTCCTCAGCCTTCCCTCAATGCAGTCCTGCAGTACATAAAGCTTGTCTACCTGCCCCTCAGCCTCTGTACCCCATCATCTAGGGCCTCTGGCAAGGGCTTCTCTTATTAAGCAGAAGCCATCTCCAGGCATCCCCACTGCACTGGGCCCCACGATTACCCACCTGTAAGGAAGGGGAGGAGTTCACTTCAAGTCCTTTCCACTCCAAGGGCGAAGGCGATGGTGGACAGCTTCTTGATGCTGTTGAGGTGAAGCTGAGGAGAGAACAAGGAGGGAGAATGTCAGTAATCCCAGACTCAAGAGAGCTCCACAGTGCTGGGAGCAGACGCTCAGCACACCCACCATGCCCTCCTCTGACCTGGAGCTCACAGTTCAATAGAAACAGTGCACTTTCCGAGTTCACTTAAGATCAGACACGCTGCCCACCACTGGCTACTACACCACATACTCCACTTAGTAGCAGCCACAGCCTAGCATGCACGCATGCATGCTCTGGGCCAGGCCCTAGAGAAGGCACACACACCTGCGACCTCACTGAACCCTCAAAGCAATTGTACAAGGTGCTAAGCTGGCTCACAGTGTCAATCCTGTGAGGCACAGCATAAGGCAGAACCTCTGGCCAGCTCACAGAAGTAAGAGGATGGCTGGCAGAGCAGGCATTTAAACACAAGACTTTTGGCTAATGGTGATGATGAGAGAACAAACAATAGCATAGTATTACTACAAAAACAAAAGTCAGGTATGCTGATGCACACCTGTAATCCCAGTACTCAGTGAACTGATGTGGAAGATTTGTGACTTCAAAACCATAGTAAAATCTTTTCTCGAAATAACAATGACAATAGAGGGGCAACCTCAGCCATGTTGTGGGCAACACCATGGGTGAATGGGAACCTGAGACTGTACAAGTGGTTCTGGGTGCACAGTTTCTGGCTCATTAACTCCCTCTGGAATGCAGGCCATAGAACCTGAGCTTTGTTTCAGAAGAGGGCCATGGTAATTACTGTGCCCAACGTTTCCATCTCAGAGCCATCGCAGCAGAATCCTGACCAGTGTCTGATGGTACATCCCAAGACACATTACGGAATGGGTTCAGCCCCACGTGACAACAGGAGGGCCACAGGGTACAGGTGGAGCCACTGCTAGGCCCCCAGCCTGGCCTTGTCAGCACCCTGTCACACCCTTTCTGCTTGATCACACTTTGACACAGTCTTCCCCATCCAATGAAGTCTGCATAAAAAAAGAGAACAAAACGAGAGGTTTTGGAGAGCTTCCAGAGAGCTGAAGATGTGAGAGTTTGTGGAGTGTAGGGAGTGTAGGCAAGACACTCGGCTCCCGGGGCATTGCCATACACATCTTTTCAGTAGCATCCTTTATGGTGAACCCATGAGGATTTGTCCCTGGTCCTGATTCCTTTGAGCTGATCAGCTGCATGTGGGGGCAGAGTCAGAAACACAGCAAGCAACCTGGACCTTCACATCTGCAGCAGGGGAATTAGGGTGAGAACTGAACCAAATTAGAAGGGCCGGGCTGTGTCTGCTGTTACATAAGGAAATGCTCTGGTGGTAGAGCACCAGCCAGTGAGCAAAAGCGTCAGATACCCAGTTGAAGTTCTAATCTCAGATAAAAAAAAGAAAGAAAAAAAGGAAATGCTTGCTTTCTATTGGGGAGAAACGATCACACTTTTCAGGGCCAAAGCTTTTCTGTGGACTGTGCTGGAAATGTGGAGAAAAATCAGGGAATTTTGTTTGTCTTTACACACGGGCTGTGAGCTAGTTCCCAGTCCCGAGACAGTGTTAGTGAACAGGAAAGTAGTATATATTGGTGAGTGTTTCCACATCCCATGTTAAGTTTACTCTGAATTGAGGGTCGGTCCTAGAGCCAACCACAGTGTCATCCTAAGCACCCCTAAGTCTTCTCCTAAGCTGTAGAAGGCTCAGTACACAGAGGGCACAGTCTGGGAACAGAGGCAGGGGGAGGCTGAAGATACACCCATAAGTCCAAGAAAATCAAGAACCATAACTGGGCCTGAAGTGAGGAGAGGAGCTCAGAGCGGATCCCCATAGTATCTGTGAATGTAAGCCACTGGGTGAGGCTATTTCCCAGCAGCCCCAGAGAACAGGGGCATCAAATTCTCGTCGTGTGTTCACATGAGGAGAGAAGCATCAGGGAGACCCTCCCTCCTCTGAGGAAACCAGGCTGGGAGCAAGGGACACCCGCCTAGGCCAGCCTGTGTAGACAAGTCCTAACCCCAAAGCTCCAATTGTGACCACTGCAGTGGACTGCAAACACTCCCTGTCTGCTTCTCCTGCCTAGCTCCAGTGCATGGAAAACAATGACATCCCATGCGCTGAGTGCAGTGACATCGCTGAGACCAGCTAACCCTGGTAGGCCCAGAAGGCCTCCTCCCCCAGGCCATGGCAGACCAGGAAGCTGCACTGAGGTGAAGAGTAGGCCCCACATCCCGGGAAGGCGAAGAGTGACTGAGAGCTTCCCTGCAGATGAGCCTCTCATCAAGGCATTATGCATCTCTTTAGGATCACAATGGAACTGATGAAGAGTTAGGTAAATAATGCAGCTGGGCTTAGTGATGTGCACCTGAAATGCCAGCACTGAGGAGGCTGAGGCAAGAGGATACTAGGTTCAAGGCTAGCCTGGACTACAGAGTTGAGACCCTGTCTTTAAAAGCAAAAAAGGGACTGGGAAAGTGGCTCAGTGATAGACTGTTTGCCTTGCATGCAGGAGGCCCTGGGTTTGATTCCTCAGCACCACATAAGCAGCAAATGCCTGAAGTGGCACTGTGGCTCAAATGTTAGAGCCATAGCCTTGAGTTGAAGAGTTGAAGGACAGTGTCCAGGCCAAGTTCAAGCCTCATTACCGACCAAAAAAAAAAAGAATAGAAAATGAGGGGCTGGGAAGTAGGTCAGTGGTAGACTGATTGTATTGCATGCATGATGACCAGAGTTCAAATCCTCAGCATCACCTAAGCAGAAAAAGCCAGAAGTAGTGGTGTGGCTCTAGTTGTATAATGTTAGCCTTGAGCTGAAGAGCTGAAGAACATCACTCTGGCCCAGAGTTTAGGCCCCACAATGGACAGAAAAAAAAATAATAGAAAATGAAATATTTAGGCATATTCTCAAGAATATGTAGGTCCTTGAACACCATATCTACTGTGGCACTATTCACCACAGCCAAGAAACAACCCAGAAGCTCCATGGTGTCTGCAGAGAAATGAGTGAAACTGAACATGGTCATGTGGAGCAAAGTCAGCCAGGTTTAGAGCACTGGAGTCAGAGGCCTAACTGTGGATGAATGCATGAAGAAGATGTAGCCTAGTCAGTCAGTGCTGGAGTCCCCGGCCAGAGGCGTGATCTTCATATACCACCCCTCCGGGTGCCTCTGAGGACCTTTCATCAGGATTTTTCAGTCTGAGGCACAGTTCAGTGTCCAGGATGATGAACGTTGACATGGATGTTGATGCTGAAAATCAGATGGAACTGGAGGAAAAAGCACGACATGAATCAAGTGTTGGAACTCCAACACACACTTGAAGATCTCTCAGCAAGAGTAGATGCAGTTAAGGAAGAAATCCTGAAGCTAAAATCAGGAGACCACGTTTTTGGACAATATAGAGAAAACCTCATGTCTGCTTCTAGTGTTTTCCAAACAACTGACATGAAAGGCAAAAGAAAGTAAGGGATTGAGTTCCCCTCTCATTTACGGAATTGCTGCTTCTCTCTCCCTCTCTCTCTCTTTTCCTTCTCTCCATCCCTTCCCCCACCCTCCTTCTCTCCCCCCTTTAAAACCTGGAAAGATTCCAAAGTTTACAGTATCTTTGTTTGTGGCTTCATTGAATGTTTATAAAAATAATTTCAAATCTAGGCAAAATTAACTACTTAACAGGGGACTTTCATGAGTCTGAGTATTATGTTAGTCTAAGAAAATGTGCAGATGTGTTGTAGAGACTTTATAATTAGAATTGCATATATTTATGAAACTTGAAAATGAATGTTTTTTTGAATTTGCTTTTATTACATGCTTACTTAGTAAGATATAGAAGAAAATAACCATGTTGTGAAAATGTGACCAAAATCATGTACTGAATGCACAGCTGTATGTATGTACCTGTTCACCATTTTGTGCCTCTCCTCCATCTGCCTCATCCTCCCCATTTGCCTTCTCCTAAGTCAAGATAGTTTCACATTTGTAAAAGTGCTTTGAGTAGTAATCACCAGACAGTAATCTGATCTGTAAGTCCTGAAGTTAACCAAAACCTTGCCTAAAATTTGTCAGTTGTACTTTCTAATAACAAGATAGGAGTGATGGTTTCTCTTTAACCATTTGAAAACAGATTTGGGCTATAAAGAGGATTTTAAGTTGCAACTAAATTATCAAATTGAGATCTGTTTAAAAACAAAAAACCAACTTACTTTTGCACCAAATAACTCACTTGCTATCTGAAAAGATAAGAATTTTGGTTATGGGCTGTGAAGGTGGTTCAGTGGTAGAGTGCTTGCCTTGCATGTATGAGGCCTTGGGTTCCATTCCTCAGCACCACATAAGCAAAAAGAAAAAAGCCAGAAGTGGTGTTATGGCTCAAGTTGTAAAGCATTAGCCTTGAGCTGAAGAGCTGAGGGACAGCCACCAGGCCTAGAGTTCAGGCCCAACAACTGGATCCCCTCCTCTAAAAAAAAAGAATTTTGGTTATGTATCGATTAGAAGTAGAAAGTCTGGGAGGAATACATAGAAATAGGTAATGAATAATGTGATAAATGTAGCAACCAATTCCAAATGTTTTCACTCCAATTTTGTATTGTCTCTGGCACAAAACAGATTTCCAGTGAATATATATATATATATATATATATAAATATAAATATAAATATAAATATAAATATATGAAAATGGGTTAAGTTTGACTGATCTTACATACACCACATGCTATGCTATTCCAACTCTAGAGTTTGGTTGCAAGGTTTATTTGTTGTACCTAGTCAATTAACTGTTACCAAATTCCTTGAAGAGTATACTGGTGTTAGAATCACGAATGAGATAATTTTATTTGTATAATAATTGGTAAGCTCAGTATTTTTATCTCACTCTGTAAAGGCAACTAATTGGTTGGTAGAATTTTAGGCATTCTCATAACAATTTCTAAAAATTTAGTTCATAGATTCCATTTGGTAAACGAATCAATATCAGCAGTAATATTAAGAGATTATACTAGGAAACGAGATCCACTAATATAGCTTATGGTTATTAGATTTGAACTACTTTAATCATGGGATAATCTTATGTGTTAGTGTAAGATTTCATAAATGACTTTAACTATAAGAAGATGTAATAGTCATACTGCAAACATCCCTTTTGCATCCCTTTTGTGACCTAATTTTACAAATATTTAATATGGTGTTGCATTTCTGCTTTGCTGTTTAAGAAAAAGATGTTTCACACACACACAAAAGATGTAGCCTATTTTCATCACAAAGTACGAATAGGCCAGGAACAAGAAGGAAATCCTGTCATTTGCTGCCACATGTGTAGAACTACAGATCGCTGTGGGAAATGCAAGAAGTCAGACACAGAAAGGTAAATGCATGTTCTTGAAACAGACAAAAACAAGGCAGAGGAATTGTCAGCAAGACCAGTAGGGTCCAGGTGAGGAATGGAGTCCATGCAATGAGGTAGACCAGAAACCCAGGGTGAGGAGTCACTGCTGATCCTCTCCTGAGCACAGTGACAAATTTCTGCTTCAAAATCACCACTGCTAATGATGAAAATGAGTAGGGAATTAGAGAATGAAGCTACCTCCTCAGAAATAACCAGGCATGAAAAGAGATCAACCTGCTTTCAGGAATATGCATGAAATACTTACTTCTAATCTCCAAATGAGGTCTCTAGGGATGAAAACATTTTAAGAAAAAAATGGCCATTATTGCCAAAGAAACTCCTGTACAGAAATGTCTCATTCTTTTTTCTTTCTTTCTTTTGGGCCAGTCCAGGGGTTTGAACTCTGGGCCTGGATGCTGTTGCTGAGCTCTTTTATTCCAGACAGGCACTCTACCACCAGAGAGTGGAGATAAGAATTGGAGATAAGAATCTCATGGGCTTTCTTCACCAGGCTGGCTTTGCACCTTATTCTCTGATATCAGGCTCCTGAGATTGCATCAGTACAGGGTTCCATTTTTCTTTTCTAACACCATATATGATGATAAAACAAAAGGAGACTGAGATGAGGAAGGCTGGGAAGGTGGCTCAGGGGTAGAGTGCTTGCCTAGCATGCATGAAGCCCTGGGTTCAATTCCTCAGCAGCACACACATGAAAAAAGACAAATGGTGCTGTGGCGCCAATGGTAGAGTGCTAGCCTTGAGCAAAAGCAGCTCAGGAACAGTGCCCAAACCCTGAGTTCAAGTCTCAAAACTGGAAAAAAAAAAAGGGAAGAGACACTTTGGGTAAGAATCTTTGGGGACACATGGCTTATACACCGCTGAGGTTGTTTACAGTCATCTCGCTTCAGGCCTTAGTGTCTCTTGCCAGCCTACTGGGATCCAGGAGAATTAAGCGACTGCACCACTCCGCTGTCCCCTGGAGAAGCACCCACATGAAAGTGAAAAGTGTCTTGATAATTGTCACATGGGGGAAAAGAAAAAGTTTACTGAGAACTTGGCTTGCCACCCCAGGTGAAGGGAAAATCACCACTCCCGCGGGAGACGACCACAGCTGCCGCCCTCCTGGACCCCTATCTAAGTAGCCCTCTGAAGCTCTGAAGTGCCCATGTGCATCTCAGAAATGACCCGCCCTGCCACGCACATCCTGAGAAAAGAGGCGAGCACTTGTGTTCACTGCCACTGGAAAGGCGCAGCCTGCAGGAGAGACCCCTGGTTCCCAGCTCTGGGTAAGGTATCACCTTAGGATCAGGGATTCTGCATTGATCCTGGATGCATAACAAAGCCACAGGAAAGGATAGGAATGGGCTAGGACAGTGAAAAGAACTGGGGTTCTAGGCCCCCCACCCCCAAGCTCTGTTGATTCCTCACTTCTTCTTCCTAACAGAGTCTGTCCTGGTTTATGACAAGTGAGGAGGAATCCTGAATGTCCATGGGCTGGGGAAGATGTGTTCACATCAGCGACTCTAGAATGGCATTTGAACCTAAAATTGCCCCTCTTGTTATCTGTCATTCACCTCTTCCTTCACCCGCACCATCCCCACCACAGACCTGGTTCATCTTCCTGGTATTTCTTCTGTGCAATATGGGCTCGGTGTTGAGGAAAGAGTGACACTTAGGACCCACGCCCACAGCCAGTGTATTGAGGTATAAGTGCATGTGACCATGTGTATGTGTCACCCATGTTTCAAGTTTCTTCCTTTAGTTAGTCAGAGAGCTTGAACTTGAGTCTTGCCCATGTTCCTTGAACCCATTTTGCTCAAAGCTAGGCCTCTACCACTTTGAGCCACAGGTCTACTTCTGGTTTGCTGGTGCTTAACTGGAGAAAAGAGTCTCACAGACTTTCCTTCTCTGAGCTGGCTTTGAATTGGGAATCCAAGGTCTCAGCCCCTGAGTAGCTAGGATTACAGGCTTGAACCACAAGAGCCTTGCTTGTTTAGAATCTTAGATCTGATTCTACAGAGGAGAAATGGAGCCGTCTTCATCTCAGAACCTGACTCACCTTCCTTTCATGCCATTTCTCCAGGCTCACCCATTTCCATGAACATGCCATCTTCCTCTTCACCATGGATGAATAGAATTGGATTTTTCCTAATACATGAGATACATTAGGAAAATATTTCTGGTGGTCTGAATGCTGGATGGAGAATGTTGAGTTCCCTTGGAACCATGCAGGCCTCAGTTTCCCAGGCCAGAGCCTCTGGATGAGACTCAAGGAACAGAGAGGATGGGAGATACCCATGTGCTTATGGGGGTGATCCTCTTTGGCCAGACTGTGGTTGGGTTTGTGGGTAATTTGTCTCTTCTCTCCCATTATCTATTCCTTTCCTGCATGGGGAACAGGATGAGAGCCACAGACTTGATTCTTAGGCACTTAATTGTGGCCAACCTCCTAACTCTTCTATTTAGGGGTGTTCCCCAAACCATGGAGGTTTGGGGCTGGAGAATTTTCTTCAATGATGTGGGGTGCAAAATATTCTTCTATCTTTGCCGAGTGAGCAGGGGAGTGTCGATGGGTAGCACTTGCTCCCTCAGCATCTTCCTTGCTGTCAGCATCAGCCAGGGAGACTCCAGGTGGGCAGGGCTGAAGAGGAGAGCCCACAAGCACATTGTCTCCACCATCTACCTCAGCTGGGGGGTCTCCCTCCTGGTGAGCATTATTTTTCTTATGTACATGACTGGACCCAAAGCGCATGACAACATGACGAGCTTAAAGTCCTATGGATACTGTTCTTCCGTGCGTCACGATCCAGCTGCTGATGTGCTGTACATGGCCATACTGTCGGTGCCTGATGTTCTGTGTCTGGGGCTCATGCTCTGAGCCAGCACCTCCATGCTTTTTGTCCTGTACAGACACAAGCAGAAAATGCGACACATCCAGAGGACGAGTGTCTCCACCAGAGCCTCTCTCGAGTCCAGAGCCATCATAAGCGTCCTCCTCCTGGTGAGCGCCTTTGTCTCCTTTTATACCGTGTCCTTCATCTGTCACATTTGCTTGTCTGTGATTTACAACCCCAGCCCTGTGCTGTACCTTATAGCGGCATTTGCTATGGGCTGTTTCCCAGCCCTCAGCCCTTTCCTGCTCTTGAGCGGACACTCCACTCCCTGCAGCCTCCTCTTCATCTGCACAAAGAACAAAAAGGTCCTCCCCTGAGGACCACCAATCTTGCATCTCTGCTGAACTTTGCTTGGCCATTCAACAATCTCCACACCTAGATAAAAGTCATCTGCTGAGAGATAGAGGTGTGCACACATGGCCACACATGCACATTTGTATGCTATATATCTGTGTGTATGTTCATCTGTCTCTATTGTGCTGGCCCACAAAATTATATGAAAGTGGAAATGTTAGATTTTGAAATAATGCTTATTAGATCATGTCAACTTCTTCCAGAGAATCTGCCCCATTACCTGTTGGTGGTGTCAAGTTTAAGATAAACTGGTTAAACTCACCTAACATGTTTTCCTAATTCTATTGTGAGTCTTTTGATTTTTTCTTTCTCTCTTTAATAGTTCCCTATGCAATGAAGCAAATCATTCTTAAAGCCTTTTCTGTTCTGGAGAATAAAGTAGTTGGAAAGAAAATAGCAGCTGGATGGTGGTGGTTGATGGCTGTATTCTGATTTCCTGAGGAGGCGGGATATAAGAATCACAGTTCAAAACGAGTCTAGGCAGAAAACTCTCTGAGACTCTTGTTTCCAATAAACCACTAAAAGAAAAAAAAGATGGAGGTGGTGCTCTGGCTGAAGTGATAGAGCACTACCTTTGAGCAAAATCGTCCCAGGGATAGAAGAGATGCCAGAGTTCAAGCCCCACGATTGGCACAAAGAAGGAAAGAGAGAATGAGGGACACAGATAGACAGATAGACAGAGACAGACCAAGGAGAGCGAGGGAAAGCCAGCAAAAAAGGAAGGAAGGAAGGAAGGAAGAAAGAAACAAAGGAAGGTAGGTAGGAAAGAAGGAAAGAAGGAAGAAGGAGAAGGAAGCAAAGAGGAAGGAAGGAAGGAAAGAAAGAAAGAAAGAAAGAAAGAAAGAAAGAAAGAAAGAAAGAAAGAAAGAAAGAAAGAAAGAAAGAAAGAAAGAAAGAAAGAAAGAAAGAAAGGAAGGAAGGAAGGAAGGAAGGAAGGAAGGAAGGAAGGAAGGAAGGAAGGAAGTCCTGCTGGTGTAGCACTGACCACAAACATCAAGGCTCCTTCCTGACAGTTACTCCCTTAGTCTTGTCCGTGTTTATTTCTTATACATAATTTATTTTCACAACTGTTTCTTTTCCTGTGTGGTCTATGTTACATATCTCTAGACTTTCTGCTAATTCAACAAGGACACTAAGTGTACTTTTGAAAAAGCACAGTTTTTAATGTAAAGTTATTGTTGCAACACGAAGGCTCCTTGAGAAAGTCCCTTGCTTGGCTATTGTGACATTTCCTGCAGTGATCCTCAGGTCCCTTTTTGTGAGGCCACCTTACCACAGCATCTGCGGTGCAGGTCAGGGCTGCTGTGCTGAATGACAGGAGGGCCTCTGGTCCAGGGCTCTCCACCTCTACCCTTTTCTTCTCAGGAACAAATTTCAGGGTGACAGCAAGCCAGAAGTAGCACTGATGCCCTGGAGACAGTCACCAGCCCTGAACACAAAAGCTCAGGGACATGCCCCAGGCCCTGAGTTCAATTCTTGGGATGGGCACAGAAAAGGAAAGGAAGCAGATGGCAGGCCTGCCTCCAGGAGCCATCCAGGGACTATGCCAGGTGATGAGTGGACTGTGGGCTCTGAGCTAGGCGCCTCCTCCTGATCCTGAAGTTCCCACAGTCACCCCACCACAGAAAGGCTTGAACCACAGGCCCTGCTGTCCCTGCACTCCCTCCCCTCACACTGGCTTTAGCCAGATTCCCTCCACGCCCATGCCCTTATGCAGCCAAAAGTCATTCCACCCAGCACACACATGCTGGGGTCTCCTTGGAGAGTTGTCTGGTGTCATTATTAACATCACACACACCTGGTCCTCTCCTGACCCCTGGTATTCCCGTCCCCAGAGGTCTTCCCTGTCTGTGTTACCTTGGAGAGCGTGGATGTGGACTTAGCCTCGTAGCCTAGGGGCAGCGCGCACCCTCCACCAGCTCCCTGCCTGCTGAGGGGACGCAGGCTTTCCCTGTCCCCACCCCACCCCCTCTTCACACCAGCTCCCCAGGAGCACCCCACCCTTCACCCACCTCACACTCTGTCTTGAGCATGATCCAAATCCAAGACAACCCACGCCCCGTGCTTCCCCTCCCCCACAGCGCTCAGCAACGCTCCACGCGCTTTTCCTCTTTTTTTTTTTTTTTTTTTGGTTGGCTGTGGGGCTGGAGCTCTGGGCCTAGGCACTGTCCCTCAGCTCTTCAGCTCAAGGTTAGGCTCTGCACCCCATGCACTCCTGCAGTCCACTGGAAGCACAGCCTTCCGTTTTCACTCTGACATGCAGCCCTCCCTGGACTCGTTACTTCTGGAGAGTTCGCACATTCAGGACGTCTCTCTCCATATTTGTCTCCTCCTTTCTTCCTGAGCACCCTCAGTTCTGCGCTACCATATTGTTTCCTGTCCACTGTGTCCTTGCCATGTGGTGTCCGGACCCCCGACTCCTGTTAACCTGACGCACACCTGCCGGTCTGAGCTCACAGCAAGCTCCTGACTTGGCTTCATTCACAGCGGCACCTGGTGACTATGGTCAATATGAAGGAGGGATGAGACATGCTGGGCAGGACGAACTCGGAGCCAGGAGAGATCAGAGGGGGTGGACCCCTGGGCACCATGCTTGTTGCTGCCTAGAGTATAGGAGGCTTCACGCAGGATAATAGGAAGAGGAAGAGGGGGGACTTCAGCCATGGCAGGTCAAGGGAGCAGCAGGTAGGGTTACTGTGCATTCACAAACCTGTGGGGGGGGAGGGGACTGCCACTGAGGCCCAGCAGGTGAGCTGTCCCGAGGGGGCAGGACAGGGGTGGTGGGGCAGGTGGTGGCAGGGGAGCCCGGGACTCACTGGGGGAGCTTTGCCTTCACAGCGCTGGACACTCCTGGGTAGCAGACGGAGAAGACGCCACAAGCAGAGGTGCGGGAGGTGAACTAGTTGCCCCCACCAGCCATTTCACCAGCAGCATGAAGTGGACTTCGAGGTCAGAGGCCTAGAGCTCGTGGGAGATGGCCCAGAAGGTGTTGGGAGCCGACAGTAATGTTTAAAGGTCATCTTGACCCTGGTGCTCACTTGAAGGCACATACAAGGAGCTGGCTTTCTTGAAGAACACCAGGTACCTGGAATTGCTTTGCTATGTCTGCAGAGTTTGTTTTACTTTCTACCAGTTGACCTTGTCCTGTTTTTACTGCACTCTGTTTTTACTGAAATTTTCCTTGTTTTTCTGGACTATTGTAACCTTATGTTACCTCTTGACTTCTAATTGTATATATTAGGGAAAGTTAAAAATAAACGGTTTTGCAGTCTTGAGCTGCAGACCTCCCGACCGCATCCTTTGTCTTATGTCTTTATTTTTCCGCATCCTTGCCCCCTAATTCAGGATTCCCTTTTGTTGCCTGCAGGCTCCGGTAAGTGACGCCCGAACAGGGACCTGAAAACCTGGCATCAAGGCAGAGGCCCGTGCTAAGGTAAGAGGACGTGTCTGGAGAAAAAGGGCAGGTGATAGTATAGTCGGGAGTAAGAAATTATGGGGCAAGGTAACAGCTGTACATTATATGTGCAGGCTCTTTAGGGCATGCTTCAAGCTCGAGGAGTGAAAGTTGGACAGAGTCAGTTAGAGAGTTTCTTTTGCTTTGTCAAGGAAGTATGCCCCTGGTTCTCAGAGTAAGGAGTCATTAGTTTAGAAACTTAGCAAAAAAAAAAAAAAAAATGGACAAAAGGATTCAGGGACACTATGATGCAAATGGCTTGTAAGTTAAAACATTGCTGCTTTGTAATTGTCTGGTATCTGTGTAGCCTGCAGGTTCTGTATTGGGGTTGGCAAGGGTCTTAGCGGACGCGCTATAAGACAGCCAACTGGGCCAGTGGGAGACATCCCCCGGATCCCCATCAGGGTAAACTATCCACTAGTGGGGACATTTGGGCCCTCCTTAGTCTAGCACTTTCTGTCTGACAGTCTACAACGTGCATGCTGTAAATGTGTTTTGTCTCAATGTTTGTGTGTATGTATTTTGGAATTCTTGGAATGTTTCTTCTCTCAGATTCATCCTCATGGGAGAGCCCGGTGTAGGCTGGCTAACACCCCTTCAATATCTGTTTCTCTCTAGCTCCTTCTTTGTTACTTACACTTTAAACTGAACCCTTTCTCTCCCTTTCACTGCCACCTTTTCCACCCTCTCTGGATCCAGAAGTAAAGGAGTGGTGAGGGGTGAAAAACCTGGAGGATCTAAAAATAACTTAAAAGGGCTGGCAGGGAGAATTCGCAGCCTGATGAAACTGCCACTGACCACCTGCAAGTGACACCAGTAAGATCTTAGCCTCGGGCCTTGGCCCAGGGGGTCTGAGTATGGGGGAGAACCTGTCAGTCTGAGGGGAGGGCTGCTAGGGACTTTTTTCACTTGCCCCAAGATGACTGGGAATTCTCCTCCACCTTGGAAGGCCCCTGGGTCAATGTTTGCAGGAATCTAAAAGAAAAATCCTCCGGAGGCGAGTAAAGGGGATTCGAGTCCCCTGGTAAGTGGATTTGAGTCCCACTTGTGAATTGTGGTGAGATGTCGCGCCTTTCACTGAGACCTGATTTTGTCTTTGTGGCCACTTGTCTGTCTTGTTTACTTCAGTGTATTTTCTGCTATGTTTTCTGAGGTAGGGATAAACTGGGGGCCCATTAGCCCCCAACTCAGCCTTTGGTTGTTGTCTTCTCTAGTTCTGTTTTAGAATTGATACCAGTTTTAAATGTATGTACAACTGATTTTGATTTTTTCGCGCTTTAAGATCTGTGTGCATTTTGTATGTGTTTGTGAACATGTTCAATGGAAAAATTATCACCATGCTGTAACAATTGGGTAAGTTTAAGTTTAAAATTCAAAAGGTTATGAGCTTTGGACATTACAAAAATTTTTAAGAATTTTCCCATTGTTTTAAATGACTTTTTAAGGATTTTTTAACTTAGAAAATTAAAAATTCTGGTATTTTAAAATGCATAAGTCTGTTTACACTGTAATCAAGTTATTTGGCTCAACAAAAATGCCTTGGCTGTTTGGAATTTAGTTCTCTTGGCTAAAATTTGGGGATAAATATTAAACGTTTAAAAATAAAAATTTGTTTAACACTGTCAAAGACATTCCCTGTTCTGTCTGTCAAAAACTGTATTTTCATTCAAAAACCAAGAGATAAGAAAAGGAAAAAACTTAAAAGCCAACAAAAGACCTATCTTTAGGGACAAGGGGTAAACAGGCAAAAGTACAGTTCAGCTGGTCATACATGGTGGGACGGGCCATAGGAGGAGTCCACACATGGTAAAAGAGGACAAACTGGCACAAACCCAGTTCATCTTACCCTAAAGAGTGAGACTAGGTGCTTGCCTATTCCATAGGAGGCGCCAAGTGGCCCAGCTTTGTTCTGTCCTTTTTCTTTACAGAGAAATACTAGAAACATGATGGTAAAAATTAGTGATGTGATCATCTGCTTAGTATTGCTAAAACTGCCCCTTGGACTTAAAAAGAAGGTTAAAAAATGTATTTGTATAATATGACTTGCTTTCAATGATGTTCTACAATTAGGATATGTTTTTAAAAGTCATAAAGGTGTTAAGTCTAGCTTTTGGTACAGGGATGGTGATTGTAATTCTTGAATTAAGGAAAAATTGTAATTCGATTTAAAAGTTTTAATGTGTATCAGTTTTAAAACAAGCAGCCAAGAGACAATAAGTGACACTTGGCCTCAAGATTTTAACGGTTTTTTTTAAATTGTAACTAAAAACTAAATTATAAAATAATAAAAGAGATTAATAGGAGGCTTAAAAAATAGGAATGGATTTCTGGGTATAAAGTTTAAAAGTAAAATTGTTCTTAACATTTGTCTCAAAGTGGAAAAGTTAAGATTAGGAAAATAATTGCTTAGTTGCTATTCCAGTTTACTCTTATAGGTTTTTTAAGTTTCCAGCAAGCCAAGAACAAAGCACAGAGGAGTCTTACAAGTTTGTCAGATGGAACTTTAGCTCTTAATAAGTTCCAGGTAAGAGCATGCTTAAAAGCTACTTCTATGTTGACCACCTTGTTGCTTTTAATTGGAGTAAAGTGGCTTTTTATAAGACTCATTGATCTGCAAACTGGTTCAAAGCCAGCCTGGGCAGATAAAGGTCCTTGTGTGACTGTCACCTCTACTCAGCCAGCAGAATGCTGAAAGAGCAAGCAGAGTTGCTTTGGGACTCATAGTGGCAGAGTGCTAGCCTTGAGTTGTAGAGCTGAGGGACAGAGCTCAGGCCCCCAGTTCAAGTCCAGAGACCAGCTAAGGGAAATACAAATGAGGCATTTATCCCAGTGTAGAGAAGACATTCCTGGTACAAGAGGAATGGAGGAGCCTCCAGAGGGAGTAAGCCACTGCTTAGATGACAGAAATGTCAGATCCCAGAGTCATTTGTGCATGAACTTTCAAAAATTGGTCAGAGCCAGGAGGTCATGGGAAGATAGTTTGTAAGCATGCCTAAAGTCCATGACTATCTACCTTATAGGGACAGAAACTTGTCAGTAATCTGTGATAGTACTAAAAAGCTAAAGTTATAAAATGTGGGGGATGGTTTAAATCCCAACCCCTGTATGTGCCCAAATCCCTAATAGGCAGTACTTTTGAACTAAGTCTCGCTACATAAAATTTATCTGCTCAAGAAAAAAGTTTGTAAACCTGAGAGTGTGTTCCTATTAACATCTGTCTAAAGGCCTGCACAGGTAACTTAGGCATTGTTAGGGTCACTAGAGGTCCTCCTAAAGATGCTTTTACAAACCAAAGTGCTAAACAAGCTACATTGCTGTAGCCAAAAAAAAAAAAGTCCGGCATTTATCAAAACTTAAAATATTTTTCTTAATGACATCTAACCCTGGTAAACCTCTTTGTAAAATAGACTAAGGTTATAGGTTCCTGGGTAGGTAGGATCAACCCTCCTGAGTCAGCTTGAAGAAGTTACAGAAGATGAATCTTTGCCCATCATCCCCTTTTTAAAACAAGGGACCGGGGCTGGGAAGGTGGCTCAGTGGTAGAGCGCTTGCCTTGCATGCTTAAGGCCCTGGGTTTGATTCCTCAGCATCACTTAAGCAAAAAGAAAAATCCGGAAGTGGCACTGTGGCTCAAGTGGTAGAATGCTAACCTTGAGCTGAAGAGCTGAGGGACAGCCTCCAGGCCCAGAGTTCAGGCCCATGACTGGACCAAACAAAAAAATAAAATAAAACAAGGGACCAGAGTCATTAAAAAAATGTGACAAAATAGACAAAAAAAAAAAAAAGACACGGGAAATACTAGTACAGGCCTGAGCCCTCTATATCTGCCTAAAAAATCAGCCTTATTAAAAAAAAAAAAACTATCTAGTTAAAAAGGTTGTCATCTTGGTAATTTGTCCTGGGCTTTCGTCTGAACAGTCTTAAAAACTATTGGGACCTCACCCTGCCAAGCCTATGTATTACTTGTATCCTTAACCAGTCTGTGTAGAAATTTACAGCCCAGCACGTGGTGTGACAGTCCCTTGGAGCCACTGAGAGACCCTGCTGCAGCTGCTGCTACAGCCTGACAGTCACCTGGAGGAAATCTACATCGTTACCCTGACCACCTCCTCATGGAAAATGTAGACTAACTCCTACCTGATTCCATCTTTCGGATGGCTTCCCTAATTCAGGAATCTCTTTCATTCCCGCAAGGCTCTGGCAACAATTACTCCACCGCCTCGTCCTGCACCACCATCTCCTCCACCGTGGCCAGCGACTCCAGTGGGGACTGCAGGGGCGGGGCAGTGGGGTGGCACTGATGTTCTGCTCAGCCCTCCAGCCCTGAGGCCATACCCCAGGACCCCAGGACAGCACCCCGTCCAACTCCCAACATGGATCCATGGCTCCTGTCTTTGCCCTGGGGATGGGAACAGGAACCCTACATGCCACTCACCAGCAGGCAGTGCACATTCTGTGGGCACCCCACCAGGACGGTGATGGTTCCCAGCTACTCAGCTAGGGCCAGAAGGACCTCATCCTCATTGTAGATGGTGTCTGTAGGCGTAGGGCATTCCCATCACAGCCTACCCTGGGCCCCGGCACTCTGGGATCTCGGCCACAAGAAACCCAAGCTTGCTGTCAGTATCCAGAGTTTTCCCATATGGCCAGCACAGAGAACAAGATAGGAGCTGGGGGTGGGTGGGAGAGCGCTGCATGACAGGGTCACTCTGTACCCCTCAGGAAGGGGAGACTGAGTCCCATCCTGTGCAACACTGTGGCAAGCAGATTTCCTGTTCAGGTACAGCTTGCACTCTCAGCACTGTTCTCTGCCAAAAATCCTTTCTCTCTGTTCAGATTCGGTTCAGCTACTGCCTCCCGGAGGCTTTGCAGACTGTCCCTCCAAAAGCCTGCCCCCAAGCACCGGCCCCTGTGACTGGCTCCCACCCGAAGACAGCACCAAGCCCACCCATAGTCTCAGACCTCAGGGCTGAGCAAGGCAGGCCGAGGCACCACCGATCTCTGGGATTCTTCCTTTCTGACATAGGACTTGCCACAGGAAGCACAGCACCCAGTGCTCAGAGCACCACCTCCAGAAGTACGACACTACACTGCTGTCCTTTAAGATGCCAGCCCAGCATTTTGCTCTAGCCCACAATCCTGCTTCAGTAACTGCTCACAAAACCAATCCTGCATGTTCTACAGGAGTGAGGCCGAGGCTTTTGCTTTGCTGTCTGGACAGCACTACCTTTCCCAAAAGACACGGCGCCTGCCACATGTGACTGGAAAGGCTCCCGGTCAATGCAGTCAATTTGGCCTAGAAACCCCTCCAAGGAGAGAGCAAGACTAGCATTGGCTCGATTGAGCCACTCAACGTCTGCCACCCGAAAAAGAAAAACAATTTAGTGAGGATCCAAGCCATAATGCCTTTGGGCTTGCGTCCTTCACTTGACAATAGCAAGTTGGTGTGCCTGAGAGTACACCCGAGGTGTGCCCCGCCAGGGGAGTGTGAACCCACTCTAATGGCTCCCCGCTTTGAATTAAAACTGCAGAAATCAGTGTAACACCTAGAAACAACCAAAGATAAATGGGCTCAAAAATAGAATACCTCCTCAGGGAAACTGCATCCAGGGCTTCTTGGAACTGCAAAAATATTGCCCAATGGCTGTCTGTAATTGTAATAACTTCG